CACCATTGTAGCCCTGCAACACCAACAAGACACGCTCACACATATTGCGCATAGACACCACAAATATACAATTATCTTAGACAAAAGTGCTTGCTTTACAACAACAAATCATCAAAATCAAAACATGCTATATCAAATATTACATTCGCGGACGTTGTGACGATGACTATTTCTCACTAAATGTCATGAGAATCCACAAACTAAAAAAGGCAGAAATGCCTACATAAAGGCCATCGCCATATACTATGCTAGCGTTATAGCGTATCATAAATAAAATATAATCAAACGAAGTCATTACAATAAATGTTAATCATATTCAACAAGTTTCAAATCAAAAACTTGTCGAATTCCGATCCACTATTTAATTACGACTGGCGTTAACGGAAATGGTTGTTATTAATAACCATTTCCTTTTAACACTTCGATATAACAAGTACGATTCGTTATAATAAAAATTAACTCGGGGCCTATAAAAAGACTTAAATGAACATATCCATTTGAACCGATTCCTTTATAGAAATTTCATATCGTAAGGAGTTATTACCGATTCGGAGAGGCAATAATCGTAAAATAGTCATAAAATCTCGGAGATAAGGCCGGAGTACCAGCGCACAGCTCAGTATGAACCTAGACGCATACTTAGTGCCAAAGCTATGCATATTTATTACAATTTAAAAACCTTGAATGCTAAATTCAAGCATGCTCGTCGTCGGAAAAAATGCATTTTTATTTTAATTAATTCTTTAACGCTATATTTTGATAACTATTTACATGATTAGATTTTTTTTAAAACAATAAAATTGTATTCTATTTTTGTTTTTATTACTAAATTAATAAAATAACATTTTTGGTAAACGTGTCTTTATTTTAAGTTTTTTTAATTGTTTGGGATTATTAAAACTGTCGTGAAATAAGAATTAATTTTAATAAATCCGTCCATGGCAAATTCCAACATGGCGAGCGGAATATTCCTGCAGTACTAGGATAACAGAGCAACAAGGATACGATTACTTGAACGAGCAGGTTATTAGGCGGCGGCGACGAGGCTGGGTTTACTGCGCCCTTTTGATAACTCCTCGTAACTTTTTTATGACGTGCGCGCTTATGCCAGCCTGGTACTACCTTTAAATCGCTTTACGATTTTGTTTCTTTGTTTTCGTCACTCTCATTTTTACTTCTTTTCTGAACCATTTAAAATTTATACAAAAAAAAAATCAAATTAAAGACAGTACCTTATACTAGTCTCTACCCTACCGTCCAACATTTAATTTTTATCAGAACAGAGTATTTCGTTATCCACGAGCGAGGGAGTACGTTCATATTCATGAGTGTCGCAGCGGTGTTGCGGTTTACGAGTTCTCTCGTTTAAACGAAAGAGTTTGTGGCATCGACTGAATCCATTCAGTACAGTCGAGATCGTTTACTTCCAAACCATTTCAGTGGAATGTAATTTGACCTATACAATGCTATAAAGTCAAAAAGTTGTCATAGATACTTGTTAAATTATAGGTTTAAGGCATTTCGTACACAAGACTACATATTGTTGAAATCCAGCGATTTTTGTCGCTAAGCAACTTACGTAGTAAAGTACAGATGTTCATAGACAGACTCGTCGTTGACATTTCTTTCACCGTCAATAAGAGTATACGATGTTCGATTGAAAATGGGAACCAAATTTATTTCCGCGCCTGTACATCGTCCCGGTATAATATATTCATTACAAACGACTGCTACTCAAACAAAATGTAAATTACAAATTATGTTGACAGTGAAATTCAATCCGGTTTAAAATGTAAATCAGAGATAAAATACCGGCTATATTTTGAATTTTATTAAACTTTTGACGAGGAATATTAAGATAAATAAATTAATCTAATGACAGTGATTCGAGTAACGATTTACCTAAAGGTTAATTAGGAAGTTTGTGAAAATATATACTATTATAATAAAGCGTAAACACCCACTTCTTTGTTGCCTAAGATGTCAGTTATCACACCATATTTTCGAATAACTCTTTTTTGAATAAAATGCCCTACACTTACGTCACGCTTTAGTCTATATATTTTCACGCCGTTAAACTTAGGGGTAAATATTTTGGATAAAAACCCTAATGTGGGAAAGAGACCATAAGTTGTTGCTAACATCAAGGAAGCAAGACTGCCATAGTAAGGTAACTGGTGTTTTGACATTTTCAATTGATAATTTGACAAATATGAACAATAAAATGAAGTTTTTATAATTTCATGCGGATGAAGTCGCATTGGAACAGCTAGTGTGATATAAAATCGTAAATATATATGTAAAGCATAAATATAAATCTTATAAATAAATACAATTTTATCTGTATTGTTTCAAATAAGCTATGGATTTCATTGTAAAATTAAATTTACGCAAACACTATCACCCAACACGTAAATAAAGCAATGGTTTTATTCAAAATTTAACTACGTCTAAACATGAAAACGAGTCATGTTTTCTCGTTATCGTGGACAATGTAAATTTTGCGTGCAGCGCGAGTATTACGTTAAATAAAATACAAATAATTAACTTCTATATAAAAAATGGTTAATAAAATTTGTAAAACAGTGTTTGAGGTACAAAAAAAACAAAAGATCTACCTTTCTTTTTAAATTCAATTTTAGAACTGTACATTAGGGTAACCGGCGTTTGAGTTGGCACGTCGAGTATATGAGTATTCTTGGTTCTGCCGTGCCAAATTAAATGCTGAAACATCTTACTAATATTATAAATGCGAAAGTTTAGATGGATGGATGTTTGTTAGCGTTTGTAGCCTAAACGGCTGAACGGATCTCCATGAAATTTGGCACAGGTTTAGAGCATAGTCTGGATGAACACATAAGCTACTTTTTATCCCGGCAATAGTTACGGTTCCCGTGGGATTCATTAATTTAGTTTTTTAATGTTTACTCGATCATTCTGCAACGGTTCAACATATCTTATTGAAATTTGGCACAGATATAAAACAAAGTCTGGAGTACCCATGGGATAAGCTTCATCCCTGAGAAATGTCCGGTTCCCGAGGGATACTTAGCTTTTTGTAAATTGTAATTTGTAATGTACCATCCTTCGACCACATCTTCACCTTGGTCTAGGTGGGATAGTGGTCAAGCGCTGGTTTTTTGCAATTTAAAAAAAAAAATTATATCGTTTGTATGTTTTCTAATACCACGCGGACGAAGTCGCGGCCAACAGCTCGTTATTACATAAATGTGTAAATAAAAGCATATCTATGAACACATTATTGTTAAGTATTTACATCTGACGTAAATGTATCTTAATTGAATTAATAAAGAGACAAGATAACAAATGTTGTTTCAAGTGTGTCAATACAAATATGAACAGATATGATTGTTTGCGTTTAAAGATAATAATGTACGCTCACAATGCAGTGGGGTAGGCAGAGATTGCTACGTCATCTTGTCTTTGTTGCTTAATATTTCCTTACTATAATCAAACTAAATCAATTTACTTCCTACTGTATTGATAAGGTATTTAATGAATAGTGAATTTTAATTCGATTAGATAATTTTTATACCATTACCAAGTCTAAGTAAATCAAATTACAGTATCATAAGAAATACTCATAATAAATGCGAAATTTGGATGGATGGATGTTTGTTATATATCTCTAAATCGGCTTAACTGATATCAATGTAGCTTATCACAGATATCGAACATATAAGGAAGGAAACGTAGGTAGACACCATTTTTTCCGCGCGGACATAATCGCAGGCTTACACTAGTCTTTTTGAGAAATTATAGTAAAAAATATTAGTAATCATACTAAAATTATAAATGCGAATTTTTAGATGGATGGATGGATTTTTCTTTGAGTTTGTAGCCTAAACGGCTGAACGGGTTTTGATGGTATTTGGCATATAGCAACATATAGGCTACCTGCATTTGTTTTTTTAAATCCGGACGGAGTCGCGCGCAAAAGCTAGTATTTCATAAAAATTGACTAAGGTGTATCAATTATGTTGTCAATACATTCTTGACCTCAAATTTTTTGAAATATTTGACAGTGATTTCTTGCTAGATAAGCTAATAAAAATATTACATACATATCGTTGTAATTAATAGTTTAACATTTTTTAAGCTTCGTGAATACATTGTTATCTTAATACTAAAGTTTCTTTTCTAATTCTAGAATGTTGTCTTTTTAAAATCATAGAGATTTTTCCTTTTTTTTTTAAGTGAATTTCGCAAACCCCTCTTATTTATCGTGTAGTATGTATTTTTTTTATTTATTTTATTAGGTTCACCAAACAGTTTAAAACTAATACATAATTACAAGGATAATGAATTATTAAAACTATGTTTTAAACCAAAAGTGTACACAACATGAATAAGACAATTATGAAAAAAAGTAAAAAAGTGCTGGTTATACTCGTATTATGATATACTAAAAGGTTTTTTTAACACATTTATGGGATTTTTAATTATTGAATGTGATTTTCAACTCTAAATGTTTTTAAGTTTTATGCTTTTTCCTTGCTTGATATTCACTAAACGTATTTCGAAGGGGTCATTATATTAAAATTATTAGAACAAAAACATTATAAAATGCTTACTCATAATCCCCTATAACGCGAGCCGGTCCCTGAGAACTTTCCCAACTGTCGGACAACATTAGCGGGATATATCCGGCATTTACTGCCTAGTTGTTGATTAAAACATGATGGCGGACATATAATATAACTTCTATTATCTTTTTATGAAAGTAAAAGCAACTCTTGAGTCCATAATTTTTACGCTAAATTATCGCTTCAAAACTTGTCCATGGACTTCGAAAATCCGGTAAGAACGGAAATGATAACAATAGTCAAGTCTCGCGTCTTAACGATAAGATTAGAAGCTGATCGGACGCTTAACTACTAAGCTGTTACTGGTATTTCCGCAATGATATTTACAATCACATAATACAATACAAAAATAACATTAACGGTATTTACGTTAATAAAACTTTTCAGATTAAATAACGCTTTAACACGAAATGTGAAGTCAAAACTGAGAGCGGCAAATAAATCGCGACTCCAAAATCCATTATGGCCAGATCGTATGTTTGTCAATAAGGCGGCTGATTGGGGCTCCTCGATGCGCTGCGAGCCTGGTACCCGTCCGTGATTTACGAACCGGCCGCGCTACTTGGCTGCTTGCCCGAGCATCGAACTCTCGCCAGAGTTGCATTTTGTTTTAATAGAAAAATTGCTCTCACGCGAAAATGTATTTCAAAATATACATCATATTTTTTATCATACTTCTATGAATAAACTAGACAGACAATGAAAAATAACGTTTCATTTTACTTCGCATACTAATTAATATAAAAAACTCATCTTCAGTGTTACATCTTCGTATTTTTTTAAACTATAAGAATGTTTCACATTAAGTAAAAAAATCTGCTTGAAACAAGATGTAGAAAGTTTTAAAAATTATAACATAAAAATTGTGACAATATAAAAAAAAAATAAGATCTTTTTTTTTCAATTTGAGATGTTACTTTTACATACATGTAAAACAATAATTTTATTTAAATCAACATAACGATAAATCAAGTCGGGTGTAATTCATATGTAAATATTACGACATTTAAACATAGTAAACCATAAATATTTACAATAAATACATCAGGGGCATTACTAGTTGTAAATAAAATCCCGGTTTATCCGTTGACTTGTAATAAAAACCATTTGTTATCCGACGACAGGGAAATTAACAAATTGACCTGTCAGTAGTTGAGGTAGCGATAATGCCCACATAGATTATCTCACGCTCACTCTAATGATGTAACTATCCGTTAGAGCAGACCAACGTATCTCGGCCGAGTTGCGGCACTTTGTACGCAGCTATAATGAGGCTCGTAATGGTCGACTAGCATTATCGTGTCGTGTTCAACATTTTAAAGCCGTAAATGATATTATTAAGCATATCGTGCGATTCTGGCGTGCGGCCCGACAACTCGCACACTTGTAAGTGATCCAACCACTTAATTATGTTTACTACTATTGTGTTTTTAAACGGATATTTCGTATTCGTATAAAGCGGCCTTGTTGAACACGGACTGTTTTGTAAAATTATTTATACATTAAAAAGCTTATTTTATTATTGAATTAATTTATTTCTTGTCTGGCAAATTACATTAGAAATAAATCATGATATCATCTTAACTAATATAATAAACGACCACGTAATCTAGAACATAGCATACGTGGATTAATCTCTGACGCTTCTCAAGCGTACACCATCTTGTGAGCCGAGATACACTAAAATATACATATCCTTGTCGCTCCAAAGGATTTAGCCGTGAGTGAGAGAGAACATGCTTACGTGAACCATTAAAATGTATTCAGTTTACCACATATATCATTTTTGAAAGATAATCCTTGTTTCAAAAATAATTTTGAAGATTTCGTGAGTAAGGTTTGTAAATAACGTAACTAGTAAAATATTTTCTAGCGAAAATTAAAGTGCATTTAGAATTGTATTATTTGAAAACGTCTTATTTACCTTCACTTACTTATAAAAAGGACCAAAAGTATACGAAAGTTTTAAAATAATGGTTATCCTATTGCCATCCCTTTGAGGTTGGAGGTAATATTTTCTTTGTAAAAGGCAATGAAGGTAAATTGATTTGGATGGGTACGGCGCGGTGGCGGCGGAGGCCTGCCCTGTCATCTTTTAAAAGGATACCAAGATTAAACCAAGCGTTGAAAGCTACGCTATGTAACGTTTTTTCGATAAAACATGGTAGCAGTATTTTTATTGTTATACGTATATTTTGAACTTCATATAAAACTAGCGTTCCTACCCCGATTCGCACATCAATTATTATTAATATAATAATGTACATTAGGCTATTAAATCTAGACAAATAACTTTTTTTGCCTTAAAAGATTTTAATTAAAATTACGAAATATCCTTCCAAAAAATAAAGCAAACAGGTAACTTATCAAATTAAACGTAAACGTACGTACAAAAAAAAAGAAAAAAAAACATTGAAAAGAACCACTCGAGAAAGTAAACGAGCAGACGTCAGAGATAACAAAAACATATCACAAGAGCCATCGCAAACTCAACTAAATCATTCGGCAACTTTTTAAAAGTACAGTCGACTCCACTCACAACGTACAGACAAAAAATTATGTCTGGCCTCCGTGCTCATTAATTCCGTAGTTGACAACATTTTTTGTACCGGAATTCTCAAACGCCAACCCTATTCACTAACGCAAGGTAGGGGTTTCATTTTAATATTTTAATTACGAACACTTCGTTTAATTAACAAATGTCACAAATAAGAAATTTTTATTACATTCTCAGAGTAGTCTAATTGTTACTTTAAAAGTATCTTAGTGTCGATTTCTCAAGATCAAAAAGTGCTTTAGAGCAGGTAGTTTCTATTGACCCCTGCCAACTCTGACGGCAGTAAAAATAAGAAAAATATTTTAGTCCGTAAAAATGTAAACAAGATATAAGTACCAATATATGTTAATCGGTAATTACAAACAATTCAAATTTTAATTTAATGAAATGCAATAACATCTAGTATGGTATTTCTTGCCTTCATAATATAAAGACAAAACTATTTGTAAATAATCTATAGAATAGTTGTATTTTGATAAAAATAGTTTTCTCAGGTGATAAAATGTTTTGTAGCAAAGAAAAAAAATTATTAATTTTTAATTAAAGACTTTTGACTGCCTGTTAAAAGTTTGAACCGACTTATGTATTCCTAGTACAACGGTTTCTTTGTCTGAATATCGTTATGATGACTGGCGTGCACGCTATCCCCTTTCTACCCGAGCGTTAAGAGCTATGTGTTGTCTCTTTTACTCTTACCACCCGCAAATATTGGTGTCCCGTCATACAAATTGCATAGCTTTGATGCGGGCGGGGTACGTTCAGAGTACGATTCGCAGGATATTTTCTTTACAACTGGTATTTTAATATAAATTTAAATCATAAATATTGCGGTAACATTTATGAATTAAAGCATTTTGTGTTTGACAATTAAATTCAACAGTAACTCTCGGAATCTAATTACGAAAACCTATGATTTTCCGTCGTCAAAGGAGAATGAAGAGTTTATCAAATTCTCAGAATTATTGCTCGTATTAGCTGTTATAATAATTGATGTAAGTATTGAAGTTTATTTTTACTTTTGTCCTCCAACATTAGGTAACTTGCGTATTCAGAACTTATAAAGTAATTTATGACTTAATGTTGATATAATAAGTTCTAATATTTTTTATGCAAGTTATGAGTTATCATTCTGTTAATGGCCCAGTAGTTTGATATTATAATCTGATAAGGTCGAGAGTTCGAATCCGGTATAACGATTATGACGTGGCCCTTTGAATTATCTAATAGTGTGGAACTATTTTAAAGCAATTCAAGACTTTTAAAACTAACAAATTTTTAAACTACATTTTAATTACATAAAATATTAACATTTAATAAAATAAAGTTTAGAAAATCTCTACATCTTAAAATGCGTATTAATAGCAAAATATTGCAATTCATAGTTGTAAAATGTGGATATGATCAGATAACAAGCAAAATGTAGATAAAATAAAATGTGCAAACAAGAAGATATGCTGAGCAAATATAACATAACAAGCAGAAAACAAATAAAGCTGAATACATATAGTAATATTATTTAACATACAAGTTGTTAACCCTTACCGTTCCCAACTTGATCTCCCGATGACTGTTGACGGCAATCCCAAAATGACACAATCCATTCAACACTTATGGGCACTATACCGGTACACTTACACTGCGGCGTTATTGGCACGACCGATGAACCATCACAACACTCGCATCCCAATCCTCGCAACGGACACCTACGGACAAACAAAAGCCAACATCAGCACACAGCACTGCGCGACTAATTATGCACACAGGGTACAAAATGCGAGTATAGAAACGCGCGTCACTAAAGCACGCCGCGCGGGCACTGAGCCGGTCGCGGCTCCTACCTCGCGCTCATGCCAGCGCGCTCGCGTCGCGCGGCCGTCCCCAGAAACGGAATTCAAACCCGAATGCCCGCTCTGCCCGATGCTACCACGATCATTTCACGCTCCACTAAGTGGAAGAGTAAAGTGTAAAATTACACGCAAATACCACGCCATCGCATTTATACTAATGGAAACACTTAAATGCCAACATTCATATATGCAAATCCTTAGTTTGCAGTCAATTTAACTGTCAACTTTAAACTGTTCACAAGCTATGCGTAAAAATGCTTGCAAAACTGTCTACTTTATAACAGTATTATGCTTGATTTACGATTAGTTACAAATTATTTAATAGTGTTGCTGCCGCATACAAAGATCAGTGAGCGTTGATAAGAACTATTTTTCTTCCATGTTCGAGTATAAGAAAACATGTGAGATAATAAAAAAAAGTTATGTTTAAGCGTTCGACTCGTAAAGTTTATTTTTGTAATACATTCTTTGAACAAACGGATAATTACATGGAGTTTTATAGACGGTCGCCGCGCATCGCTGCGATGATAAATTTAAATGAAACTAACTATCGCCCGCGACTCTGTCCGCGTGGAATAAAATAATAAAAGCGAGTGTGTTCTTCCAGACTATCATCTACATATATGCCAAATTTCATTAAGATCTGTTCAGCGGTTTAGGCTACAAACTCTAACAAACATCCATCTATCTAAACTTTCTCATTTAAAATATTATAGTATGAAGTACGATTTATTAATGGATTTCAGAGAATTGAAAGTATTATAAACTAAATACGAATATTTAATCTAATCAAACTGGTTAATAAAATTAAAGGATTGCGGTTAATCCGTTTACAGTAATCATGAGCCAATGATATTCTAAAAAATATACAGATTACAAAATAAAAATTACATCGTTTATTTATAAAGACTACTAAAAGTCCTTAAAAATATCATGCAGTCAATTCTATTTTTTACGAGACTTCGTCAATTATAATTAAAAAACTAAAAAAAAAACTAATAAGGGTAATAATTAATTCTAGATACTGAAAAGTCATTAATCACAATCTATCTACGTAGTGATTGATATCAAATTAATTGTTCAATTCTTAGTATTCTTTTCATTGATAAAAAAAATAATCTGTTAAGGTCACGAGTCAGATTGTCAAAGAAATTTAAGATACTTTAATAACATTATAAAAATGACTACAGTAGAACATCGATAAGTTAAAGTCCAAGGGGAACAGAACATATTTTTAATTATAGAGGTTTTAAGTTATCAAGGGCCTATGTTATAGAAGTTTCGGGCTGGGCGAAGGGAACATATTTTTTAAGTTATAGAGGTTTGGTTATCGAGATTCTACTGTAATTCGAAGTCAACTTTTATATTAGTATATTGCTAGTTATTAAGAGATATCAGAGTGGAGATCCTTCGGGAGATTGTCAAAGAGAGTGGTCGCGACCTTCAAGAATGAGAAAACGATCCGGAGAGAGAGAGTCTTATGAAAGTAATTTTTAGTCATAACATGAATGTCAAATAACTTTATTTAAATTTTTCAACATAAATAATGTGAAAAAGTTAAGTGATTTAAGTAACAAAGGAAGTAAAGTCGGCTACAATGAGTCATAGTTAAAACTAAAGCAAAAAGTCAAGTAGTTAACCCTAACCCGCTTGTTATGTGAAGCGCTTAACTAAAAAGTTATTTCTAAAGTGGAATTCAGAGATTTAAAAAACAATAGATCGATTTCGCATATTAAATCCACACTAAGTTTAGTGAATAACAAACAAGTAAAGAAGATAAATGTCCAAAAACAGGCGCCAATATTTCCTAATAACATACACTACCGGCCAAAAGTTTGAGACCACCTTAAAAATTTACAATATTGAATTAAACTCCAAAAGTTAGTGTTCTACAAATTATTTATTTACCTTATTAAATAGGGAACTTTTTATGTAACAAAAAATAATTTAAAAACAAGCAAACATAAAACTATTCCATAAAAATAAATATAAGTTATCGTGTTTTATTACTGAGTGTTGTACTCTTTAATAATGTAATACATAAATTCTCATAAAACAAAGAATCTTTTACGACTCTTCAATAAACATATTTGTCTACTAATACTATTTGCTTTTCCTTTTGATAAAACGCTCGCAGAGCTTTTAACTATGTATTAGATGTTTGAGAAGCAAGAAATATTTTCCGATATATTTCAAATCGCAATACGCTCCGCATTGTAGGGGAGCAGATATTTCTCGTATTCCTTTGTTGGGATCACTGCGACCGACTCTTTTGTTATTTGTGTTACTAAGAATAAGATAAACAGAATTATTATTTTATTCTCTAAAGAAATTTAATAACGAAGTTAATCTGTGGTAATTTATAACATAGAATATCTATGGAAACCGTTCGAAGTTCGAATAAAGTTTTAATAACACCTCCACATGATCGCTGTAGCCCTGGTAAGTCGTTTGGTCGACGAAAAAAAAAGACCACTCATTCCCAACTAGACAAGCAATTGAATAGCCGAATCGTCTATTGACATTGTAATCTAAGCTCGGCGGCGAGACGGCGAGCCGGAGAGGGGAATAGCAGCCGGCTTTCCGAGAAGCGACCTTACAGCGCATGAGGCATGAGGCAGCGCTTTCACAGGCTTAACGAACACAATGCACACAATGGAGCGTAAGAGATACCGGAAACTATAATCAACATGGGATTATTTTTAAACGTACAAAAGTAATAATGCTTTAGCCCGATATCTAATCTTTGACAACTTTGATCGTACTTCGATTACAAGTGACCACTATAAAAATATTTAATAGTTAACGGTGTAAATGTGCACCAAATTTATTAAAACTTGATCTTAATTATTTTACAAACTCGAGTCTGCTGGAACATCTTCAAATACATATTAAATTTAATAATAATATTTTAAGTATGAATCGAGTATTTGAGAGTTGAAATTTCATTAAAAACGGTACAGTTAATTTGAAGTTAAATCTAAATCAGATTCCATTGCCATCTAAATGAAGATTACGCTACTTGAATTTTAATTAACTTCGTAATCCCCCAATCTATTCACGCGTTTATTTCATTAAATTTTGCTTGGATCTGTTTAAATTAAACCTTTATAAATATCAACGTCGTTAAGTAACAATTAAATAAACCTAATGATTTTAATTTTAAATTGCCTTTGACTTGGAGTGTTAATAAAAAAAATCGTAGCTTTAAATTCAACAAGGATACATTGTTAATCACCAGGGCGACAGCAATTTGTGGGGTATAACCGCAAGTGCGATGCAAGCCGACACCGCGCGCCGGCCCACTGCCGGCCTGATTGATGGCGCGCTGTCACTTTTGCATTATCGCCGATGCCTCATGTCATTTGCATTAAATTGTGATGTTGCAAGTTATTTACAATATCATTCTAATATAAAAATATCCGACTTTCGTCACCTTAAGTATAATGTATGGTTTTCTCTTAGTAATTAGACATTTACAAATATCAATTAACTACCAAAATGGCATTGTAATGGAAATCTTACCAATGTCAGTGACGTGTCCGAAAATAAAGTTATTTTATTGTTGGTACAGAACGATTGTATAGGAAAGTATTATTCATATTTCTTTAAATGTTCATGAATTATTCATTTTAATTATTTCTGATTCAGATTAGACATAACATAATAGTTTAAAAACAAATCGATATATAATTTAAGTATCGCTGCTTTAAAAGATTTATTTATTCGTATTATTAAATAGAGATTCATTTATCGATTAGATTTATCTATAAACAAGTTACGAGGTAACTAGGAACGCATGAACATGAGCTAATCGATTCAATAAACAAAGGCATGATTATCACGCTTGTCTTGTTTCTAATTTACAACACACAAATACAATTTTAGCTTCAACGACGCGGTTGGCGTTTTAATTAAAATACAAAGTTTTGTTGTTTAAATATGTTTTACGTGTATATTGTTAGTGAATAGACAAGAGATTTTTATTTTTGTTTGTGGACGAAATTTACTTTTAAAACACATCACTACATGATAGTTTCTGGCAATGGTTTCTTAAACGATATCTTTGTTAGAGATTGTATAATATAAGTACAACAAATGCATTTTAATGAGAGTATGGGGAGTGAACAATTATGAAAGTGACAAGTAACTCGAATACATATGGTGCAGTGTCTTCGCCTGTCCCACAGCCCTCCCAAATCTTAACACAAAACACATTTGTAACACTCAAAACGCTGCCTTATAAATATACATAGCGATAAAAAACGGATTGTTTTACATTTTTCAACGTCGAGATTTTAAATGCTTGTAGTTTTTAGATGTCGTATGTGTTTTGTTTTATTCTTTTTACGCAATTGACAAATATTTCACGACAGTATTCATTTGTTTACTCGCATTGTTTTCGGTGGATTTATAAGACTAGCTTTCGTGAGCGACATTGTTCGCGAAAAATTAAAAAACAAAAGTAAGTAGCCTATGTATTCTTCGAAACTATCCTCTACGGTTTTTAATAAACTTTTTTAAATCGTAAAAAAAATTACAATAATGTAGATTTAAATATAATTATTTACAGAAATCCCAGCTCTATTACGATTTTACGTTTCCGTCTAAACATTAACAATAGGTGTCATAGATCTTTCGACGTTTCCAAAGACAGTCAAATATTAATAAAACCTTAATAAACACGGCATATTAACAGCGTAGTAAAGACGTATCTCATACCAACCCCGCATTATGTAAAGAGCATTTGGTATTCATGTAACATTACGATATATCCGGACTACCCTTCGCCACGACGTGGGGACTTACAAAGGTTTCATAGTTACAACCCTCCGAAAATGCTTAGCTTTCAAACC